GGAAGGGCGTCAGCATGGGGGTTACACCACAGGAAACACAAGGATATTTTCTCCAAAATCTCTTCCTTTCCTGAGTCTCTTCCCAACTTCCCTCTTTCCCTGCTTCCCCTGCCCCCATAAACAAAGGCGATTCCTCTCTGGCTCTTTACTCACCATTTACAAAGCTAGGAATTTCTTCAAGCCAGATCTCTGAGTGGATTTAGGCTGACAACAGTAGTTTGTGGCTTTGGTGGTTCCTCGTCCCCCTGAGACTGACAAACGACCTAGCTTCCCATCCCAGTCTCCAAGGCTGCCTCCCCTCTCTCTGAGCAGCCTCTTGAACGGACACATCTGCTCCCAGCAGTGGACCTGAGCACTCAGTGACAGAGCTGCTGAACCACCCCCTTGGTCTCCTCACCCTTTTCAGCTGCCACGACAAAAGGAATAGCTCACCTGCAGAATAGAATACAGTCCTCAAATGCCCATCTTTAGCCTAGTAGTTCTTGTTCCAGGCTCTTTATTGGTGTCTCTAGGGAAAAGTGGCATTCAGGTAACAACGGAAGCAGCCAAATGCAGGTGATTTCACTTTGAGAAAACCCCATAAACAATGTGAATTTACCTAAATACCCCAGAGAGTTCTTCCTGCATAGTTGGAAGAATTTACTTCTACAAGGATAGAGATTTTAAGTTCTTATGTTATGCACTCTTCAAAGAGATACTGAGGTGTTGGAAGCGAGATGTCAAGATAATCAGGGATGAAGAAATTTCTGAAATTATTTGGTACAGAATCTGAAGTGAAAAATCTGTCCCCTAACCCTGATAGGGCAGTTTTTGTAATGTGAAGTATACTTGACCCTGATGGTCCAGGGCCAAGATCTGGATCAAGTGCCTGTCTCAGGAAGAGGAAAACTAACTAGCCCACCCCTGGAGGGTTGATCCAAGGAGAGGGCTAGATTACACAGTCCAAAGCAAAGCCCTTGACCCTCCCTCCATTCCTTTCTTGGAAACTTAAATGGGCCTTAGATAGCCAAAAAGTGGGCAGTCAAGAAAAACGGGAGTTCAGACCTTGGTGAGTGTTCAGCTGAACCTGCCTGCCTGCTACTTTTATAGGACAGGGGGAGATTAGCCAGTAATCTGCCAGGGTCAGACCAGCTGTGGGGGGAGATTTATAGGCCCAAATGGGGTCAAATACTATTCTTTCAGGCTACAACAGCCTTTAAGAAGGATGGAAAGAGTATAAGACTGAGGGCCAGATTTATTAGGGCAGGGAGGAGAAAGTGATTACCATCCCATGAACACACTGGGCTGCCTTCTAGTCCAGCAAACCTTGAGGATTCTACAGAAAAATCTTCCACTATCCCATCTATTTCCCAAACCCAGGTCTACAGAGAAGACCAAACTACAGGGCCCCTTGAGCAGGGACACCTGGATAGCCAGGACTGGGAACTCAGTGAAATACTGTTCCCAGACAAAAGCAACACCAGGAATACTTTTCCTCCAGCTGTTTTCACTAACTCAATAAAATGACGAAAGCAATTATCAGAGGAAGTTTGGGAAGCTTCAATTCTGTATAAAACAGATGTAGGTATCCAAATGATGGGTCAGATCAACCCAACTCGATTTGCTATCTGGTGATCCTCTCACTTGAGTACTTGTCATCTCTCCCAACAGCCTCCTTGTCTTCATCACCTTTACATGCCCTTCAGTACTTAATAGTTCCTGACACATTATTGGTACTCAGTAGAAAATTATGGATCTAGTAAACACAAATGGATTAAGGACCTAGCCTAAAGCCCCTTTAAGAAACTGGGTTCTGGAGTCTGATAAACGTTTTAAGCCCATCTTCTCTTTCGGGTAGGACAGGGGATGGATGCCTCAAGGCCCGGCTTCCTAGGATTTTACTCAAGCTGATTGGCACCGGGTACTTCTGCAGTCAGCCTGGTGCATTTCCACCCTCACATGGTATCCAATACCAACCAGCCTGGCAGTACCTTCCTCTCTCTCTAGACCAACTCCGTCACGTGTGTACCTGGAGAAGCGGTGCTTGAAAATTTTCTCTGTCATCGTAGTGAATTGGTGAAGCTTCTGAGGTATTAAGCAATCCATCATAACATTTGTGACTGGTTAACTTTAATTTGTCAAAATAAATCTGCAGTACTTTGCATGTTAGTAATACAGTGCTGGTATTGACAGGAAAAACCATCATCTGCTTACAAAGAAACCTTCATTTAGGAGCACACCTTAGGAGGGAAATGAATACACAATAAAAGGCAAATGCAGGCCAAGTAGCGAGCCCTAGAGCATAACAGGCTGTCAGATTTGAGGATTATCTAATACAACTGTTTAGCTGCTAATCTGATAAAGGGGAAGCTCTCAACCAGGTTACAACCAGAAGGAAAAAAACAAAATCTCTGCTTTTTCGTAGAGCGGTGGCCGTTGTGCCTTCAACACTTGGTTAAATCAGTTCATCAGCATCAAAACTCAATTCCAGTTCCAAGACACAGGAGAATTTCACCATACAACCTACTAGATCCTCCTCTGCCAACTCTCTCCCTCCCAAAAGAAGACACAACGTGGTTTTATTATTGCGAACAAGCTTCTTAAGTGAATAAAGAATGCATACAAAATAGCATTTTAACTGAAGTCATACAATGAAGTCTCATTCCTGTTTATTATACAATGAATTGATAAAACAATCATTTCTAGTATATTATCTTTTTAAAATTTTTTTTAAAAGAACTAATATTTTCAGGGTTCTGACAACCACACTCTAGCCTGGGGTAGGGTCCACACCTGCCCCCACCGAGTACTGCTCCTCGGGCCACTGTGGAGGAAGCCTGGGCTGTTTGAGTCATGGAGGATCGTGATTACCAGCCTCGTCAGAGATGACAGGTCCCAGCAGGCAGACCCAGAACCTGGTCCTGGTCCTGCATGCCAGGAAATGTGGGCTTCCTCCAAATGTGGCCACCACCTGCCCAGTCCAAGCCTCAGTAGGGCCATGCCTGGACCTTCCCTATGAGTCCTTCCAGTAGTCCACACATAATGCTCTACATATTAAAAACAAACCATTTTTGTACTGTGGATAGGAACAGTTATAACAAAGTCATAGCTACATATTTTCTCTACATTTTGTTTATTGAGACAAACTAATTAAAAGGCACAAACATAGGGCATGTTTACATGGACATTATAACAAACATATACATTAAAAGTGTAGGAATGTGTTGCCTTCCTGCTAAACAGAAAGTTCCTAAGCTTTTATATATACAAAAGTTGTACAATTTAATGTCCTAAAGTACAAAAGATCATTTATAAAATTATTTTACACTAAGTACTATTTATTTTACTTTTTACTATGTAGTTCAACCCCCTCGAACTGTTTGTATAATGAATGACACACAGATACCTATCCCTGATGTAGGAAGTCGGCCTTAGATACAAGTTATTTTGATGCTTGAACTGACACAGCGGGGTATAAACAGAAGTCATCCAGTTTGATAGTCCTAAAAACATTCTGCAAGATCACCACACTAATTTCCATTTCTCTTAACTGCAAGATTAAGGGGGAAAAAAAAAACAAAAAACCAAACATATTGCAACTTAAAATAAAAATCACAGCATCTTGGTTTTAGTAACTTTTTAAAACACAATGCTTTAACATTAACGTGTGGCATGGTGGTGTATCTGTTTCCCTTGCTTTTGGTTTCTACTTTATGTACAGAGATAAAATATCCTGCTAATAAAAAGCACATGTCTTAATGTGCACAATCATTGCTGGTTTCTACAGGGAATGCAGACAGCTAGTTGTCTCCCTGAAAACACCACAAAGCTGTTACAAGTGTTTTCGCAAAGAAAAAAAAAAGTGATGTCCATATTTACAAAGTTGAATAAATCTGCACAATAACTTGATTAAGAAATGAAAGGAGAAATGAAAAAAAAATACACACTGCTTGTTCTGAAGGGGCATACTACCTAGTTAGTGGTTAGAATAAAAACTGTATACAATTTAATATAAGACATAAACTCTAGTGAGCAACTAACATATCTTTCCCTGTTGTAACATCAACAGGCTCTGATTGGGAGAGAGGGGCATATCACATCCCAGTGCCTCCAGCGTCTTCCAATTTAAAGCAATAATTTTAAATGTCCCAAAGTATTCCTTGGCTCCTGAATAGGAGTCCCATTGGCCTCCATTTGTTAGGAGTCTGCCTGTCCGCACGCTTGACTTCTCCTCTGTCCATTGCGGCTTTTTCTTACCAAAACACAATTTGTATATTTTGGTTGTATTTTTTGTTTTGTTTTTTTAATTTTTTTTAAAAAGTCAACTACAGTGCTATATTCCATCAGGATTAATATGCTTAGCAATATTTACATCTCCAAATATCAGGTCACAATCCCTATTATATGTTGAAGTTAGAATGATAAATTATCATATGCTTTGCATATCAGAGCTGGTATCACCTTTCCCATAGGGAATGCTGCCTGAAATTAACATATTCCCAAAGGTAAAATGCATATTCTCTGAAATGCATTTTATTATGACAATGCATGTTTTACTCATAAAAACAATAAACACAAACAATTCTACACTAGCTCTCAATCCGTGGATTTAGAACTTCAGGTTAAAATAAGCCATCCACATGATAGTGAGAGAAGAATTCTCCTAGTGTTTAGAATAAAATGATTTATTGGGATTAGAAACTAATGCTGTTTTTAAATTTTGAAATGAGTTTTGCTTTCTTATGATTGGCTTTAATTCTGGCATTTCATCTTTATCAACTACTATCCTGTTTAAGCAATGCTGTCAGCTAAAAGGAATTTTTGATTAAACTAAAGTGGTCCAGTGATAAGTTATACATATACCCTACTTTGAACCATCCCAGCCAAATTGGAGAAAAATGCCACTACACTATTACTAACTAATGTAATAAAATCTCCCAATTTCATGGTTTACTTTTTACTTTACTAAAAGTTGCTGGTAAATATTTACTTTAAACCATATTCTGATTTTATAATACTGTTTACCAAGGTGGTGACGTAGGCAGAGCTTGGGGTAAAAAAGGCATACTCTCTACGGGCCTCATGGCTATGTTGAGAGGGGCGGCTAGCGTCATGGGTGTGGGCAGGTTCATGGGGGAGGTGATGGTGACAGGGTGTGCTATGTTCACTGGAGCAGTGACTGGAGTGGGGAGGTTGACCGGGGTAGTGAGTGTTAAAGGAGAGGTCATGGATAATGGACTGGTTATGGTTACAGGGTGCCCTATGTTCATGGGGCTGGTTATGTTAACTGCACTTGAAACATTTACTGGACTTCTCATGCTCATTGCAGCTGCCACTGTGACTGGGTTTGACATAGTCCCAGACGACACAGAGGACGTTATATTGAATGGAGTAGTGAGAGTCACAGGTGTCGTAGCAGCCGTAGAGGTTTGGCACAGGTTAGCGGCTTCTAAAATAAGAAGACAAAAGGAAGGGCCTTTAGATTCTCAAAACAGCGAGCAAAATACACTAACAGCGTTTGAATCACCTTCTTTTAATTAAAAACAACAAATATTTAATAAGTTGAATTATATTTCTATCAAGTAGTCAACAGGAAGGAAGAATCCTTCTGAGCACCAGACTGGGGACCAGGAATCCCAGCGTGTGCAAATCTCTTTTCTGATGCTATACCTCCCTCAGGATCTGACTTAGGCCACTTGTTTAACCGTGGCAGTTGTGATTTCAAGGTTAGATTTACTTACCTACCTCACAGTGATACTGGGAAGACGAGTTAATTTCTGTAAGGCACTGGGGGGAGGTGGTGCAGAGAGATCAAGGATGGCTAAAGAATTCTCATTATCATTTCATGCCCTTCCTCTGAGTACTAAAGACTTTCTTGGGAAGAGCCAACCACCAGCAGGCCAGGCAACAAGAGCTGTTTATACAGTGCTTGGCCAGTGGTTACACAGTAACTGTTAATCAGAAAAATCTTCTCATAAGGCACATTGTACCTAGCAGAGGGAAGTGTGTGTCCTCAATGCTATATTTACTCTTAAGCCTTCTCAGAGGTGAAACCACATTCTGTTAAGGTTTTAAAAATCCAGAGGCAGAGATTGATAAACAGTCTTAGAAAAATCACTTTATTTAAATGATATAATCACCTACTTTATGCTAAGTCATTTAGCTATACATATTATACACACCACCAACCATACTAGGGAGGACTTAACCAGGCAAGAAGACCCTGCAGTGAGTTAGGGGGACCTGGTCCTTGTTATCCAGCAAAAGCTTAAAGAAAATTTCCTTCAAAGATGACACCCCCACCCCTCAACAAAATTCAGCACCACCTGCTGGTGTGCCTCAAAAAAGACAGAGCAGTGGACTGGCTGTGATTTGGCTGTCAAAATGAAAGGGGGGGAGGGGAATGTATACGAGACTAAAGATGGAGGTCTGCACACATTTCTCAAGTGGGTCAAATAACCTCAGGCAGACCCTTGAGTCAATGAGCAGCCCTTCCTTGATCAGTATGATGTAGCTCTGGCATACTTCTGTACACTGTATCAGGAATTCCTAAGTCTGAGCCATGATCACAATCATTTATGGAGCTTTATAAAAAATTATTTCCCAGGAAACCTAATAGTGAGATTTAGATGGAACCTGAGAAATCAGCAAAGATGATGACCTGTCTTCCAAGTTTGGGAACATTATTTAAACCCAATATTGAAAAAGGATATGCTGATTCAAGTGTAAGTTTTCAGGTCAGGAGTCTCTCCCCCAAAATGTGACTTTACTAACATGAATACAGCAGTTTCTAACATTGGTGGTCATTTCCAGAGAGATTCATGATACAAATGGGAATACAATCACATTCTGTTTCATGGAGGTCAGAAGATGAGCTAAACAATTGAGTCTTATTGTGCAAGCAAATTGAAATACAATACCAAATAGAAGAGGGCAGAAAGAAAGAGAGAACGAAAGAGAAAACCAACTCACTTTTGAGGTGATGGTACCATTGCTAAGGATATTCTCCTGTTTTCACCAAAGAAGGAGTTTTTACTCTCCCATCTGCCATCTCCCCACCTCCTCCCCATGTTTTCTTTTTACCTAATAGTGTCCTTTTCTATGACTTAAAACACTTTCACCCTTCTCTAAGTAAAACAATCTTCATAATATGCTCTCAACCTACTATGCTATTATCATAGCATATACACACATATACATTTTTCTGTCCCTTCTCCCCCCAAACTCCCACCACAAAACATTTTATCAAAGTCATGACAAATCTTCAATTGGGAGACAGGAACAAGCAGCACCTGAGAAAGGGTGGAAAGCCTATCTGGACTGCTGCATTCTTTTCCTCCATGCCAGTAGATGTATGAAAACGATGCTACTCCTTTTATCTTTATCCAAGTACAGAGTGTTTAGAGGGGATCTGAGGAAGGGAACAGCCACACCACATGAAAGCAAAGGATGGAAGAAACTACACAGCAAAGGAATTACAGAGGAGCCCACATGCAGAGGTTTCCTCATGAATTTAAAATAAAACGGTAAGACGTGGGAAGGGTGGGAATTTAGGAATCTGTCCTGTGGCTGATGGTACGCTGACAAAATGATTTACTTGAAATAGCTGCGCAATAGTCCAGAAGTCAAACCTACAACTGGGACGTTAAAAAGCTGTGTTAAAAATGGATATTTCAAAGGATTCTTAGAGATATCTAAGAGAAAAGCAGACCATTCTCAATTATAGCAATGTCTCTAATAACTGAAGTACATACATGTTAAGCCAATGCCAGCCCCAACAAACTGAATGACGCTAAGGATGAGACCAAGAGAAAAGACATCAGCATTATAGTCTGAAACATATAATAAAACATAGAACACTAACCAGCAGAAAATAGCAGTGCTGTAAGAAAATAAATTTATATACACATAAGGATATTTCATCTACCTCTATAAGTGGGGATATTTTAGAAGAAAAAAAAAAGGGAGCTCCCTAATGCATGGAGGTTGACATAAAAATGGACCCAGCCAGTGTGGCTCAGTGGTTGAGCGTCGACCTATGAACCAGAAGATCTTGGTTCAATTCCCAGTCAGGGCAAATGCAGGCTCAATCCCCCAGTAGGGGACATGCAGGAGGTAGCCAATCAATGATTCTCTTTCACCACTGATGTTTCTATCTCTCTCCCTCTCTGAAATCAATAAAAATATGTATTTTTAAAATAGACTTTGAGCATACACAGCCAAGGACCAAATTTGATTCTAGATTTGTAACAAAAAGTAAACAAAAAGAAAGAACTTAAGATACAGTGGATAATTTTATTTCCTAGTAAAAAACTTATCTGGAAGCTTGAAAGCTTTGTTGCCAATAACTTACACTTCCTAGCATCTAATATTTCCATAAAGCTGGACTCTCTCAGCTATGACTTCTTTATTTTGATTACTTGGCATACTGGATAAAAATACTTCTCTAGCCATACTTTGAGCACTAGACGCCTCATCTTTCTTACCTTTCTTTCTTGCTTTGACAGCTTCTTCCCACAGTCTCAGTGTCTCTACCTGTTTCCCTGGCCAGCTTGTCACATGCTGCTGCTGTTGCTGTTGCTGCTGCTGCTGCTTCTGGTTGCTGCTCTCTTCATTCATACACGCTACTCCAAAGACAAACCAGAAACACCCCATTTACCTCGAAAAAGTGTGGCTATTTTTTCAAAATCTAAAACTTAGATATACTTTGACTCTTTATGCCTCTATGATGTTTGTCATTTAACTTGATAGTTCTTACTATAGTGCACCTTTTTTGCTGCTTATAACTACCTTGGTCAAAATAGATAATGAATAAAAACACTGGAGAGCTAGAGAAAACCAATATAAAAGAGAAAAAAAATGTTTTGCTATATTAAAAAACAAGTTTTAGAATGGAACCTGGGTAATCTTATCATGGACTAATTAATGCTCATCAAAATACCTAAAATACTTGATTACTTGACCACAATGATGTACACTTAAAGTACATTTTTATAAAAGTTAACAGAGAATGACATGCTAGATACTTACACGTACTTACAAATAACCAAATGTACTTACAAAGAAGCAAAAATGGATGAGAATAAAACACATTAAGTGTTCTTTCCTATTCCCTTCTGTCCACCTAGAATTTGATGTTTTCTGCTGCACAGAGTACATATATAACAGAATACATAAAGTAGTAGAATATATAGCAGAATAGAATTAGGCAAATACTTCTTTTCTGATAGTTCAGAAGATCTTAAATAAAAAGCCTGGATAAATGAAAATATTGAATTTTATCCACAAGTCTCTGGAATATTCTATCTTCAACTCTGAATTTAAGGTAAGCAAAGCGCTAAAACCTTAAAATGGATTTGCTATCCCATTTCTCTACAGATTTGGGTTTGAAAAGCAAACTAATTAACACTGTTTTCATCTTTAAGGTTATTAAGGACATGTTATTAATACAATCAGGAGTTAGGAGCCACTGATGCTTGAGAATCTTCCTAACAGTAAATAAAAACAATTAAAATTGCCTCAATACAACACAACTTCCTAGTGTGGCTTTTGCTGTCACAATTTTAATATACTAGAGCTTTTTATTCAAACACCAAAGAAGAAGGGACACATTGAAAAATAGCTGAGGGAAATTATGCTATTCTAACATAGGTGTTATTAGATAAGCACAGGATTGAAAGAAAAATCAGTGCTGCTTGTACACATGCATATGATGTATATTTCCAATACTAACATACACGCTTCTTTATTGCATGTTTGCACACTTTATTAATAACAGGAAACATGTAAGGTGAACAATAATACAGTGTTGAAAAAAAATAATACAGTCTTGAGAGTACAGCAAAAATACCTTCGATATATTATAACAACATCTAGATTTCATCAATCTAAAAAAACTACAATTTGAAGCATCACTTACTTTTAGTGATGCCTTGTTTACATGTATTACAGTTGATACTTTGGCTCTGCCCATGCGTCTTTAAGTGGCTGGTGATGTACGCTGCGCTCAGGAGCTTCCCACAGATGTTACAGGATACCTTGCCTTCATGGCGTACCATGTGTGTCCGCAGTCTGTCTTTGGTGGCAAAGGCAGCAGTGCACGTCTGCATGAGGGAGGAAAACTTTTTTTAAATATAGACTATCCTGTTCTACTCATTTAAAAGTACGTTATATTCTAGGCATTATCCTACCCATATGAGCAAGCTGAGTTAGTTGAATTTTAATTGTATGTGTTACCCAGACTCATAATTAAACACTTGGTGAATTTTAGACCCTTACATTTTAAGGGAAGAACAAATATCAACATAGAGTAGTGAGAAGATGTAAGCATGAGAATCAGTTAAACCTGGATTTAAATCCAGCTTCCCAATTCACTAAACAGTGTAACATTTCCTAACTGAATTTCTTTATCTATAAAATGATGATAATAATACCTACCTTACAAAATTACTGGTGGATTAAGAGCCTGACACAAGGTCTTGCACATAGAAGACACTCACTCAAAATTATACTAGCTTCCTTTCTCCAATTGGGTATTTCTTAGAATTCAAATAATTTATTTAATAAAATCGTCATTAACAAATTTAATGGAAAGGAACACAAAAAAACTTCCAGCAACAAATTAGAATTACTAATACCTAAGACAGTAATTTAATTTAGCAAGATTCTTAATCTTTTCATTATCACAATTCATGCTGAATAAAATCATTAACACCAATAGATTTTCAAACAACTAGAAAATGCTCCAATCTGGCAATAGCTGACACAAATCCAATAAGTGATAACTTTTGGAGGAAAATCTTACTTTCTTCTATTACAATTAAAATGATCCCAACCATCAGCCCAGAAATTAATTTAAAGTACTTCATTCATTTATCCATTTCAATACACAACCTCTGCAAGACTGTAATTTTTTTCTTATAACAATAAATGCTGTTGCCCAAGGAAAGAGAAATATAGCTTAACAAAAACAACACATTTACATTTTCAAGTGATCTTGCCCCACAGAAATAGAAGCTGTCATTTATATTTTATAAAACTAGAATTCAAATGGATCACATTTACTCAAGTCAGTGATTTTTAAGACTATTCAAGAATGGTGAGATTTGATTGGCTCAGACCTTCTGGATAATGTGCATTAAGTGCTACACTAAGGATAAGTCATTTTAACTCTTACTTGGCATTTGAAGGGTCTTTCTGTTGAATGGACATGTTTTACGTGACAGCTTAAATGGTCAGGCCTGTGAAAGAGAGAGTTTCAACAGAAGATATAATGGAACACACATAGAAAAATACTACTTACTGTGATGTTTACATACTTGGCAGATTTGGGTGGGAGACATTTTAAAGAAAGCTAACAGAATTAACAACTCCCCGCTGCAAGCCTCCTTATTTTTCTTACCAGAAACAAAAGTTTTACCTGTTTTCTCTCCTAGTCAACATCAAAGCATATTAGATCTTGATTCTTTACAATTACAAAATACCCAAAGTTTTAGTCCTAATACTTGCCAGAAGCAGCTACTCCTAAGTACACTTTCTATTTTTAAAGCCTTTAAAAATGAAAGTTAGTGAAATGTTAGTAAACACAGAAAAACATTCTCCTAAAAGTTTTATTGAGCATATCCAAGGTCATCCCAACTTCCAGAAAATAAGTTTCTTTGATTTACGCAGACAGTGAACCTCATGTCTAGTCATCCAATTGAATTGGAATCTGGTGGTTCTTCAGTGATAAGAAGTATCAATGTGCCAAATGAAGGCCTGCATCCATTAAGGTACTTCTTAAATGAAATAAGTTAATCACGATGTCACCACTTGTCAAACACACCCAACTGAAATTAGACCTGGAGACGTAAAACTTTACCTATCACCAATCTCCTCTGATAGCACAGGCCTACCCACATCTATGCTCGCATAACCATCTAGAGCACACAGAAACTGAAGTTCACTGAATACCGTAATGAAAAAAAAGCAAAGCAAAATGCAGTACCTCGAGAAGCCTTTCCCACAAACACTGCAAGTATAGGGTTTGGTGATGCCTCCTTCATGAGACCTCACATGGTAAGTCATCCGGTCCTTCCTCTTGAAGCGCTGGTTACAAATAGGACACTCGAAGGGCTTTTCATCGGAGTGGGAGAGCTTGTGCCGGTTGAGGTGGTACACATCGCGGAAGGCCTTCCCACACATCTCACAGGCGTGGTTTTTCTTGACAGGCTTACTGGGTTTCTTGACAGACTGGGTCACAGGCATAGCTGTGGTGCTGGCACTGCTGCTGGGGTTGGTGCCCGAGGAAGATGTAGTGACTGTTGACAAGATGCCTGCAATGGTTGAGACCAGCGAAGTTCGGCTGCTGTCCCCAGCGATGGTGGAGATGAGAGGAACCACGGTGGTGGGCGTTTTCTTCGCCCGGGACACCAACTTGATCCCAGTGTGGCAGGACTCGTGGCGCCTCAGGTGATAGCTGTCCCTGAAGGCTTTACTGCAGTAAGTGCACACAAATGAAGTTTTGGGTTTTTCTTTTTTAATTCCAATGGCATCCTTTAATGTTTCTGGTGGAGCCTGAGGTTTCTGAGTTATTGGTATTGGAAGCAATGGTTTCTGATCAGGGGGCTCCACAGCAGAGCTCAGGAGGGGCAGCAAGCTGTTTTGTGCTGCCTGCTGTTGGTGATGAGAGCCTTCATGGGTCTAAAACCAAACATTTACACTTCAGAAACTCAGCCTCTCACAATGACCTTCAAAATTCAAAATGCTCCCAACAATAGAGCCCAGAAGAAACAATCAAAGAGCCTGTAAGCAACTTTCTACAGCAGAGATCCAGCAATCACCTAGTTACTCTGAAGAGCCCCCAATAGGAAGCATTAAAATCACTGTGCAGACCCAAAACTTTGGCCACTAAGTTGCTGACAGTGATCTTGCTTTCAAACAGCTGACTAAACTACACACCACCCTGGTTCATAAGGGACACACCAGCTGATGAAATTAGTTTGCATTAGTCTGTCAGGGCTGAAACCAAGTTTAAATAACTTGTCAAAAAAAAATTACACTCCAGACATATTTAACAGTACTTTGCCATAGTAATGCACAAAACACACACATAGTTTCTCTCTCTCTTAATCATCTACTTGTCTGTTACCTAGAAAAAGGAAAGCATTACGTCTCTCTCCCTTTCAATCAGAAAACTCATAGCGATTGAGAAAGGAGGCTGTTGCTAGGTGACAAAAGGAATCTAATTCTCTGAATACATATGCTATTTAAGTTTACTTTTTAAATTTTCACCTAATTCTACTAAAAGATTTGGTTGAAATGAAACCTGCTATTAATCAACCTGGAAGGCATCTGTGGAGATAGCCCACAGCAAAACACCTGTCAGTTACTTCTCAGTTCATACAAGTCTGTATCCTTTAACAACACTAGCTTTTCAAACCCTAAGCTCTCAAAGACAGACCAAGAGAAAACAAACTATAAATAAATAATTAAAATTTCTTTCATTTTCATCTTCTTCCAACAGTTGTAGGTTTTGTCCAAGTATTGGGCATTCACTGTTAAAATGTGCTCCTGCACTCCAAAACTGTGGACTGGCCATTGTCTGGAAATTTACTTTAGCTGCACTGAAACCAACATTTCATCACAGATCATGTTCTTGGTATTTATGACTAATTATTCTCTTGGTTTTGATTCTTTCAAAATTCTCCATACCTCCATCCAGATAAACATTTAGGAAATGATGGGGAAAAATTCCTGAAATAGTTCTTCCTAATATGTTGTACTTTACCAACATTATTTTTGAAACTCCTGACAGTGAGCCCAAGCCCCTATGCTGGAGTTTGGTAATCCTACACGGATACATGCACTCAGAGGTTAATGGTTCCAAATACTTTAAGCATTCAACATCCTAGGAGGAGCCCATCCCATCATCTTAGATACTCTAAAGACCTTTTTACCCTTCTCATTGTCCAACAGTTAACTTGATTAAGGAGGGAAAGAGAAAGACACACACACTCACACAGAGCTCCTCCCCTGACGGATAAGAACATCTATCGTTGCTCCATATTTAATTACTTGGTGGCAGCACAACAGCTAAGCTCCAGGCTCCCCCCAATCATTGGGAGGCATGGTATCCAAAGGTACCAATTTCAATTTAATAATTTTGCTTGAATCTCCCTTGGAGTCCTGGAACTGTTCATAGAAATTGTGTATTTACTTTTGAGTCCCTTTTTGGACTTAGCTATCATACTGAATTATAGTCCACTTTTAATTTATGGAGCTCGTGTAAATGTCAGTGTTTACCCTGATGACATTAGTAGGAACTAAAGAATCTGAACGCTAAACTTACCCCTTTTCCAACCTGGCTGTAGGATACCCAACTTTCCATACAGTATACAAACGGTTAATAGCTGAAGATAGCCCAAGATATACAATTTCAAAGGCAACAGATCAGATAATAGGGAATGCAAATCTTCTGGGCAAAGTTCAGACTTACAGTGTTTAGAGGCATTTTTCAATTCTAAACAACCATTAGTTTGATGGAGTACTAAAAGCACTTACTGCCATTTCACCAATTCGGACGTCTGTGGCAACATAAAGTATTTTTACAGCATTGCTGAGGCTCACTCTCACAGGAGGGTCACACCAGGTCCCTGGTTCTTGGTGAAATGCTGCAGAATGCCTCGACCACTATGGAAATCTCTCACTCTGAGGATTCCTAGGTCCCCACGCTTCTACATGAAGCCTTCTAAGAAGGGAAGTGGGTTTCCCCAACTTGTTCTCTGGGGGAGAGACAGTGAAATAACCACCACGGCCTGACTTTAGTAAGTGATTTAAAATATATGCATAACTTCTGGGTAGACTTTTAACTTGCTAGTATCATCATATCAAAGTTGCAAGGCTTTTTAAACCCTCCCAAGCCTTCCTTTTTCTGTGACCGGCAATAAAAACAAAACAGAATGTTATTTCATCACCCAGGTGGTAGGATATGGCACCGTGAAATCTCCAGTGCCAGAGGGTAAAAGATTTTGTACTGAAACAAATTAGCATCAGTGAGTCATATCTTGAATGTCCTGTTAGAAGAATCATCCATCAAACATTTTAATAAGTATGGCTTTCACTTTCCACCAGGTTATCTGGAAAGCAAGCATGTATTCAATTGTTTTAAACTATAAATTTCAATAGGCTGCCCCAGGAAACAAAACAAGAGTTTTAAGTCTCCATTTTCCCAGTGAAAATTACTTAAAACTGGAACTAAGTCTGTTCATACCTTTCCATAGAAAAGACTGAAATATTTTCTTTACCCATCCAACTGTCCTCAGCTCTAAATTATAAGTTTTCCAACAATTTTCACTGCACACATTGCCAAGCCCAGGATCAAATATGAGCTTTCACACTTCTCCATCAGGTGGAAAAAATGATTTTAATAGCTGAAAAAAATTAAATAATATAAAATCGAATTAAACAGTTTATCAATAATAAATGCTTGGCATTTGCTTTATCCAGGAAAAGAATAATGAAAATATTCCAAACAATTTTCCAACTAGCTTTCCAACAGTGAGTTATGTATGGGTTTTTCCTTTACATAAAGAACTCCTGTTATGTTTCAATCTCCATTAAGTTTATAGGCAGTACGTTTAATATGGTAAATTTAATTCATTCCTCACATTAAAATCACTTCAGTAGCCTATTAATCCCATATTTTAAAGTGATCATTTGAAAGCTTTTCCTACAGAAGGCATTCGCCACCTTTACACCAACCTGGAAGGCAGCTAGAAAATAATATGCCCATTATTTTCCAATGCATTTTTAAGTTCATTTAACACAATTATCAAGCTCGGATAAAACAATGCTAGTTAAGATAAAGAAAGTAGGAGAAGTTTCTGAGTCCCATAATTTTTGGCATCTTCAATTTGAAGAAGCCTGAATTTGTTTCAACAACTACTTAAAAAAATCAAGCTACTCACATGTGAAAGACTGCACGTCTTAAAATAATCAAGCAGCCACTACACAATAGGTAACGTTTGAGTCCTCCAATGTTCTATATTAGCTCTACTGAGACGGGTCCAGTGGCTGGGAGAAGTTTCTAAAAATTTTGCATCCGTTCCTGGTTAGCTCCAAAAGGTCTCGAGAGCGTTTGGGATTTCACTAAGTTATTCAAAGTAGGAAAGAAAAAAAAAAAAAGAAAAAAGAAAAAAGAAAAAAAAAGCCTCGCAGAGGCGGGAAGAACGCACTTCAAGTGACGAGCTTCCTAACCTCCTCCGGCTCCCAAGTTTCTCCGTGAGCTCAGCATTGCTGCCCGGTTTGCAAATAGACACGAAGCAAGAAAAATATAAAGTTCCAGAAAAGTCTTCCAAACAGGGGCCCCCCACCTAAAGCGGGCCGGCACGGGGCTTGCCAACGCACGGGCTACAGCCGCTTGGAAGTTTCTTGCAAGCAGTGAAGATCAACACCCCAAAGAGTGACTCATCGGGGGCTTTGTAAGCGCACTTTGTTTGCTCGCTCCGCTTTCTGTCTCCCCCGCTTGGTTGGAGGAAACGTCCGCGATGGAGCGAGAGAGAGAAAAGCGCTCCGGGAGGAGGTCTGGCCTCCAGGGCCCCGGCGCTCACCGTCCCCGCCCGGCCCGGCCCGGCCCGGCGCGGCCGGGGATTCCCCGGGCGGAGCGGGCGGCGGCGGCGGCGCTGGACAGAGGGAGAGGGTGTCAGCTGCCTAACTCGGCAGAGGCTTGGTAAAGAAAACACGTAAAATCCAGTGAAAAAAGTTTGAGGAAGGCGTCCGCACAACACCCCCCAACTGGGTACACGCGAGGTGGGGCGGCGGGAAAGGGGAGTGGCGGGGAACCCCGGGATACCCGCTATTCGTGGGGATGGGGCGGGGGGGGGGGAGAGAATCAGAAAGTCACCATACACAAAAAGAGAGCAGGGAGCTGAAAAAGAAAAAAGAAAAAAAAAAAGGAGAGCGAGCGGGAGATGAGTGTGAGTGTGTGTATGAGTGTGAGTGTGTGTATGAGTGTGAGTGTGTGTGTGTGTGTGTGTGTGTGTGTGTGTGTGTAAACACACTTGGAGTAGGACCCGGGGTCCGCCTTCCCCCCCGGGGCGGCCCGGCCCGGCCCGGCGCGCAGTGGCCGAGCGGCCCGCGCGGTGCAGCGGCCGGCGCCCTCCTTTCTCTGGGCCGCGGGTGGTGACAGCGGCCGGCCTCCTCCCTTCCCCTCCGGGCGGGAGGGAAGGGTGTGTGCGTGTGCGTGAGTGTGCCGGGTGGGGGGGCCGGGGTTCACCCCGAGGCCTGCTGGCTCCCCCGCACCCCCGAGGCCGCCTCTCTCACCTCGGCGGCCCCGCTCCGCCGGGCGGGCGGGCAGAAAAACAAAGGGGGATTAAGGCCGGGCCGGAGCGCGGCGCCGGGAGAGAGGGGAGGAGGAGCGCCCGCCCGCCCGCCCGCCAGCCCGGGGCCCGGCCCCCCTGTCCCCCCCGTCCCCCCCGGGCGGGCCCCCACTACCTGGAACAGGAACGTGGTCCAGTTGGCCTCCATGGCTGTGGCGGCCGACCCCCCTCCTCCCCACTCCCCCCCGCTCGGGGCGCCTCCTCAGCCGGAGGAGGCGACAACAAAGCGGCGGCGGCGGCGGCGGCGGCAGCGGCAGCGGCGGCTCCTCAACATGGCAGCGCCGAGCGCGGCCACTTCCGGTAACCTCCGGGACGCACCACCGCCGCGGCGAGCGCGGGCGGGGGGGGAGCCCCGACCCGGCGGCCGCCGCCCCCAGCCGCTCCGACCCCTCCCGGGCGTCCGCGCCGCCGGCCCGCCGCCCGGGAGCTCAGCCAGTGCCTGCGGGCGGTGGGGTCAGGGCCCCCGCGGGGGGGCCGGGGTGGGGCCGGGGGCGGGGATGGGGCGCGGCGTCCCCCCCCGCGGGGGTGTGTGGTGCTGCGGTCCGCGGCTCCGGCAGCTGGAGCAGGGGGAGCTCAGGCGAGAAGATGGAGGACACCAGGGTCTGGCGCTGGCTGGCTGGGCACCGCTGGGCCGCCGCCCGTGACTCGGACGCGGAGTCCAACCGTGCCGCGTACCTCAGACCCTCCGCGGAAGGCTCAGCCCCCGGGGCCACGCGGCTCTCCCGTCGCTCAGGCGCAGCACGCTCCCCGCCTCCAACTCGGGGGAAGCCCCTTCCACCGAGTCCCCCCTCCGGGGTTCCGTTCTCAGCGCGCTAGATCCTCCGCGCTCCGCTGTCCGCAGCATCCAGCTCTGAGCGGCCTTCCAACTCGGGCAGGGAATCCCACTGGGGTGCAGCCTCAAACCCTCCCAGAGCTGAGGGAAACACTTCCCACGCGAAGAGATGTCATAACTGGGTTATTCTTGGGTGAAGGGCTGAGCTTCCCAACCTCCCTTAACTCCAGATAGGATGTGAAATTCTACCCACCACCACTTCTCCCGCCAAAAATAAAAACAAAGTGAGAAACTACAGTCAAGAAATTATTTTAATCCTTTAGTACAGCCAGCCTCCTCACCCCTCAAAACAAAAATCGAACTTCTGGTTGGACAGCGTCAGATGTCACTGAGGTGACCCCAGCATCTGTTTGCAGTTCCAAGTCTTCCGTGTAGGCGTCACTGCTACTGTTATAGGATGATGATGTCTGAACGTTTTCTATACTTGCCTCACATAGAGGTAGCTATTGAGAATAGGCAAGCTATTAAACAAGTCCAAAAAGTCTCCTGTAGCAGGAATTGAAGGGCTAGGCTGTATCAGTGATACTTCTATAAACTCTGGTTTACAAAAAACTTCTCACTATTCAGGACTTCAACATCTTTCATAACCACTGTCTCCTATCTTCCTCTCCAGACACATTCTAATCAAGGTCACAATCTCCAACTTTTCCCATAAATACACAATTGGTTTTGAAGGCCTCAGGGAGGAATGAGTTCCGAAGTTTGGATCAGTAGCAGAAGCAGGTAAACACATCCAGGAACCAGTCAGCCTAAGACAGGAGCGACAGAAAATTAAGTTTCTGATACGTTCCCTCAGCTAACTGCTCCCATGTCCCTGGTCTCCTATAAATGTCCGTTAGTCTCCTTTGGAAAGAAAAAGAAATCCGGAAGCCTAAAGTTTATGTTTGCATGCAAGATAGGGAGGGAATTAAGATACCTAAGGAATTAACTAAAGACCTTTTTTGCTCTGATCTTGGACATTACACGTTCTTTCAATTTCATTCAGTAAAGAAGACTGGCTTCTTTCTAGCCTCTGGAATTCGTCTTGTTTCCTCCTCCCCTCTATAGCCTCTCTTACTTGGCTGCCTTTCAAACCGTGGTGAAAGTTAGCTTCAAGATTGTGAAAATTAGTATTTAATGAAGACCATTATTCTCATGACAATATTGCTGGACTCTCTTGAAACCTTATCCTGGGATCTAGAAAGCTTTTCCATCAACGTTTCTAACAGCACGGCTGCAGAGAGGTTTCCCACTAACAGGAAGTAGAGGTCAAGTGAAAACAGTCCAGTTCTCTTTATAGAAGAACTGGGATTCAGAAGTATCACACTTTTCTTAAAATGGCTAATTTTATCTGTAGCCATAGATGAAACCAGAATTCATGATTGCTCCCCAAACTCTCCCTTAAAAAGGAAATCTAGCCACTTATTAAAATTAAGTTTTAAACATAAGAACAATTATGCAAAATCAATCAGCTCTAATTGTTTTGAGGAATATAATGAAACCAGTAACATCAAAAAAGGGGGCATTTCTGCTTATCCTTAGGACAGACAATATCCTTCACCACAAACAAAATGAGCCCCTCCACAGACTATACTGGGGGGGGGGTCCAATAAAAAGACTAGGGTTGGGGGGGAGGGGATGGGGAGGAAGAAACTAGGGATGTCTCAAGACAGTAAATTTACCTTGATTATTGTAAACAATGTTCAGTGAGTGACTAAATAGTATTACCCTCAGATACAAGTAACTAAAATGTCTGGTTCCTAAGCAAAAAAAACACTGTGCCTATTCACCCAAATAAAACTCAAGATTCCCTTCCTATTCTCTTTCCCACCCTTCTCCCCCTGCCCCAGCTTGTATAACCTGTCAACCTTTCAAGGCCTCAATTTCCTTTTCTGGAAAATGAGGACAAAGTAAATACCTATCTTATCCAGGTGATTTGTGGGTTAAATAAGAATGTGCAAAATGCTTAAGAGTATTTCCTAGAATATAACAGAAGCTCAGTAAATGTTTTTATTGGTGTTGAGTGGTTCCCCATTAACAGCTGCATAAGAGCGAATTAATTATTCCTTTCTTTTAAAAACCCTCACTCAAAAAGCGAGGATATTTTTTCCATTGATTTTAGAAAGTGGGAGAGGGGCGAGAGGAACCTTTATGTGACAGGCACATGAATTGGTTGCCTTCCACCCTCATGGGGAGTAGGAATCATACCTACAACCCAGCTATGTGTCCTTGACACCCTTGCCTGAAAATCAAATCTCAGACCATCCAATGTGCAGGCCTACACTCTAACCACTGAGCATGCTGGCCAGGGCTCTTCCTCTTCCTTTGAAAGTGACAAGTTTTTCCTCATGCTCTATCCCTTTCTCCTTCAAAGAGCCCTAAGGTAAGTGGCTAAAAGGCTAAATGACACTTGACAAAGGAAGATGCCTATTAACCTGTTAACCTGATGCCTATTAACCTGAGCGGGACCTATAAATACGTCAAACGTAAACAATATCGGGAACGGGTAGGACGTATGAATACGTCCTTGAAATATATGTTGTGCCGAGAGGGACGGTATATATTTTTTGTAATCTTTCTTTTAAAAAATATTTTATTGATTTTTTACAGAGAGGAAGGAAAAGGGATAGATACAGAGTTAGAAATATCGATGAGATGAGAGAGAAACATAAATCAGCTGCCTCTCGCACACACCCTACTGGGGATGTGCCAGCAACCAAGGTACATGCCCTTGACTGGAATCGAACCCGGGGACCTTTAGGTCCGAAGGCTGACGCTCTATCCACTGAGCCAAAACGGTTTTTGCTATTTTTTGTAATCTTTATCATTGTTTGTAAAATTTATAATTTTTTAATTCGACGTGTCCATTTTTTTTTGTCGGTATTTTTTTCTGTTTTTTTGTAATTTTGTATTTTCCTTTGTGCTTTATATATATAAATAAACGAAAAAATATATATATTTCATTTATTTTCAGTAAGTATAAATAAAAAAATATGAAATTACGTCCTCCGGGCGTGACCTAATGACGCCCATTACAGGTTGCGTCATTAAAAAGGGAATTCCCCGGTTAACAGGTTAAGATTAGCTTTCCTAAAGACAACTTTCAGCAAACATTAAAAAGAACAGGATATTTCCTTTCTATATTTGAGAGGTCTTTTAAATTCTATGAGTACATTAAGGGTTAGGATTAGATTTGGGATCCTAGGAATAGAAAGCATCTCAGCTTCATTACCTGTCTCCACATAAGACCGCTCAACAAACCAAAAACAAATCAAATTCAAACTTTCAGTAGAGAAGATCTAGTTAGAAGAAGCTTTAAACTAACAAGTTCCTGGACTATCTCATGAAAAAAAAAAAAAAAAAAGCGATGACTGATAATCTACAAATCTAGTAAAAACCAAGACTGCAATATTTAGAGATACCAAAAAAGTGACCAGAGAGAAATGTTATCCTTCATTCCCAGCCTCAATGCAATTGAGAAAAGCACACACTACACCAAACCAAAGGAAAACCCCTCTCCTCCAAACAAAAACAACCAAATCTTGATGAGAGGAATGCTTAAGTACTCTTCCCACCCCCTCCACTCTACCCCAAGCTCCATAAACACACTTAAGGGCATAAGCCGAATGTCTGTGGCCCGTGTGGTCAGAAGTTGGGTTTTTGACAGAAACCGGTTTGGCTCAGTGGTAGAGCCTCGGTCTGTGAACTGAAAGGTCCCAGGTTTGATTCTGGTCAAGGGCATGTACATTGGTTGTGGGCACATCCCCAGTAGGGGGTGTGCAGGAGGCAGCTGGTCGATGTTTCTAGCTTGCTATTCCTCTCCCTTCCTCTCTATAAAAAAAATCAATAAAATATATATTTTTTTAAAAAAAGTTGGGTTTTTGTTTCAATTATACCACCAAAAGTGACATCACCAGTTATTTTTGTTTTAAATGTGAAGGTGAGGAAAGGGAAACAATAAAGATCTCCCCCTTTCCCCCAATAACTATTAAGTTCCTTTAGAGCTGGGAAATAGTCACAGAGAAAAAAAGAGAGAACAAATCTACCCATTTTCTTAAATTGGTAGTTGAGGGTTCTTTAATACTCTGCTGTTTCTAAGAAGGACACACATCCAATATACCAAAAAAAGTCCAAAGCCATGGAAACACATTTTTCACTTTAACACTTCTTGAAAGAAGCTGCCAGAAATCAATGTTAAGCCTATCAGTTTCATCCACAAAGCATTTGTTTAGAAATACTGACATTTTACAGCTCCTAAATAGTAAGCAAAATAGTATAGGACACAAGAAGGAAAGAAACTAAGGTCAAAAATACACCAAGTAAGAAATTCAATACAA